AAATACATCTCGATCAGGGTGTGGCAGCAGCCAAAAAAGCTAACACAAGCCTTGATTGTTATAAACAGAGGCACAGAATCAAAATCACGTGAAGTATTAGTACCGCTTTATAAAACCTTAGTAAGGCCACCTCACCTGGAGTACTGCATCCAGTTTTGGTCATCACCTTACAAAAAAGATATAGAGACTTTGAAAAAAAAAGTGCAAAGAAGAGCCGAAAAAAAGACTAAAACATGAACGGTTGCAGGAATTGGGTTTGGCTAGTCTAGTGAAAAGGACTAGGGGTGACATGACGGCAGTCTTCCAATATTTGAGGGGCTGCCCCAGAGAGGAGGAGGGGGTCAAGCTGTTTCCAAGGCACCTGAAGGCCAGACAAGAAACAATGGATGGAAACTGAACAAGGAGAGATTCAACCTGGAAATAAGGAGGAGTTTTCTGACAGCGAGGATAATTAACCAGGGGAACAGCTTGCCACCAGAAATCGTGGGTGCTTCATCACTGGAGGTTTTTATGAAGAGATTGGACAGTTTAGTTTACTTTATTGTCATTGCACCTCGTACAAGGAAATTAAATACCATCTTTAGTGTACAATTTTTGACTATGAAAATAAACACAAACACACATCCCTCACACTCCACACATTGAATTGGAATTGGAACTCGAAAAGCCACTTGTCTGAAACGATACAGGGCCTCCTTGCTTGAGCTGAGGGGCTGGACTAGAAGACCTCCAAGGTCTCTTCCAATTATTCTGTATTCTGAATCCAGCTTGGCGTCGCCTCCCTCAACCCCTGTAGGGGGGAAAAAAAACCCCTTGGCTTCTGGCATCGGGCTGCTTCTCCCCACCTGGACGAAGTTTCCCCCCCCCCCGCTTTTTCAAAACCGCTAGAAAAGAACCGACTCTCGTTTTTTGTTTTTTCCTTTTATTGGGTACAAGGGGAGTGTTGCCCACCGCAAAGGACCTGCCCCAAAACGGTGAGTTCCCGGGTGGCGAGAGAAAACCAGTCCGAAGCCAGGGAAGAAGGGAAAGGGGCTCAAGGCGAGAGGGGTCCAGGCGGGCGCCGGCTTGGCGATCCCGGCCGAGTCCCGTAGCCGGGAGACGCGCCCCCCTTTCTACACCTTGGTGCCCGAGGAGGGCAGCTCCGACTTCTGGGTCTGGCCGCTGAGCGTGGACGAGACGGAGCTGGCGGGCCCGCGGCGCGGCGAGCGCAGTCCGAGCAAGAGGAGGCACTGGGCGCGGAAGCGGCCGTCGAAGAAGGCGTAGAGGAAGGGGTTCAGGCAGCTGTTGACGTAAGCCAGGCAGGTGGCGTAGGGGTGCAGGCGCAGGATCAGGTCCAGCCAGGCGCAGGGCAAGCTCAGCAAGCCCACCCAAGCCAGCACGTAGAGGCTCTTCAGCAGGTGGAACGGCAGCCAGCACAGGGCGAAGACGGCCACCAGCGTGACGATGATGCGCAACAGCCGCCGGCGCTGCCGGCTTTCCTCCTTGCGGGCGCGCCGTTGGAAGTGGCGGCTGACGGCGGCGCCGATGCAGCAGTAGCAAAGCGTCAGCAGCAGCAGCGGCACCACGAAGCCCAGCGCCGTGGTGGCCAGGCTCAGCGCCGCCAGCCAGCGGGCTGCCTCCTCGGCGCTGCCGGCCAAGCCGCTGAAATCCATGTCGCACTCCACGGCCGAGCCGTTGCCGCCGCGAGGGCTCAGCCGCGTCTGGCGCAGCAGCAGGGCCGGCAGCGCCAGCAAGCCGGCCAGGAGCCAGACGGCGGCCAGCGAGAGCAGCGTCCAGGTGCGCGGCCGCGGGGACGCGCAGGAGGAGGAAGAGGAGGAGGAGGAGGGAGGCCGGCCGGCCGAGCGCGGCAGGGCGTGCACGATGGCCAGGTAGCGCTCGAAGCCCAGGCAGCCCAGGCAGAAAGCCGAGGCGAACATGTTGAGCAGCACCAGGTAGCTGCTCAGCTTGCACAGCGCCGAGCCGAAGGGCCAGTGGAAGCGCAGCGCCGTGTAAGCCGCCCACAGCGGCAGGGTCACCACGAAAGCCAGGTCGGCGAGCGCCAGGTTGCCGATGTAAGCGTCGGCCGAGCGGCGTTTGCCCGGCGGGCCTCGCCAGACGGTGAAAATGACCAGCCCGTTGCCCGACAGGCCCAGCACGAAGACCAGCATGTAGAGCACGGGCAGCAACGAGAAGGAGAGCTCCCAGTCCGTCTCGGCTTCTTCCCAGGGGCAGCCCCCCGGCCCCCAGACCTCGCTCCAGTTGCCCGGAGGCTCCTCGTCGTAGTCGTAAAAGGGGCCCTCCATCGCCGCCGCTCTGCTGCCCCTCCGACCGGCCGCTCAGCCAGGCTGGCTGGAATGGGGGGCGCCGGTGCGCTTAAAGAGGGCTTCGAGCCTGACCCCGCCCTTCGCTGAAAGGGGGGAGATGAAAGCCCTTGGCAGGGAAGGGGGGGCGGGAACCCACAGAGACAATCCCTCCATTAGCCTTCCCTCCTTCCGAGGTGGGTAAAATGAGGACCCAGATTGTTGGGGGCAAGAGGCTGACTCTGCAAACCGCTTGGAGAGGGCTGGGAAGCACTATAAAGCGGTATATAAGTCTATAAGTTGCATCTATCTATGTCTCATCCTCCCCCCCCCCCTCTCTATCAGCTCAATACCTGTGCTTCGCTACAAAACAGTGTGGTGCGGGGCTTAGTTTTGGGGGAGGAAAATAAGAGGGAAAAATTCTGCCTCTTTTCAGGTGGGGAGCGGGAGTAGAACTCCTTAGCATCAGAGCGTGTTAATAACCATAATATAGGAAATACTAAATGCTCTGAAGGTCATTTCGCAAAATCCTTTCTTAGTGAGCCCCTAGAAGCCAAGAGGAACATATGGGTCAAATTTCAAGTTTGTAGGCTTTACGGTTCTGGAGATTTTCTGATGATGCGTGACATCCATATATATACCTACTTATTTCTCTCTCTTTCTCTCTCTCTCTCCCTCCATCAATCTATTGATCTATCATCAGAATGCAGTATTGCAGGCTGATTCTGCCCACAAGTCAGGAGTTCGATCCCGACCGGCTCAAAGTGGATTCAGCCTTCCCTCCTTCTGAGGTGGGTAAAATGAGGACCCCGATTGTTGGGGGGCAAGAGGCCGTCTCTGTAAACCGCTTAGAGAGAGGGCTGTAAAAGCACTGTGAAGCAGTATAGAAGTCTAAGTGCTATTACTGTTAGGCCAACTAACATTTTTCCAAGTTGCTATTGAGTTCTGGTGCTCTTTCTTGGGTGGGGGCAATCGGAACCCCCCCCCCCAAATAGAGCCCCCTTCTCTGTGCCACCATCTCCGGGTATGCAAACGAGCTGTGCAGGTGCCAGAGAAAGTTCCCAGTCAAAAGACGGACTTGTTGGAAAGAGGAGCCAGGAAGTCTTGCTCAAACCTTCCATTCAAATTCTGGGCTTCTGAAATGACTGTGAGGTTGTTGTTGTTGTGGTGGTGGTTGTTGTTTCGGTGGTGGGCGTTCATGGGGTGTTCTGGCTGGAGACACCCACCGAAAAGATTTGTTTTGGCTGCAAAAACCCAGACGGCTAGGCTGAAGGGAACTCTTGGATGCCTTCAGGTGGCCGTTCAGCTCTTTGCAACCCAGGCTGGTCTCCCCTCTGGGCCCTGGGTTGCAACCGTTGTCCCTGCGCACACCCTCCCCTCCCTCCTGCACACCCCTCCGGAGACACAAAGAGGACTCAGAACCCCAAGAAAGGCACAAGGGAGGCTCCTGTTGCTCCTTTGCTAGCCTCTGTGTGGGAATTTTCCACACCGGATGCCCCATTCATTCACCAGGGCACAAGCAGTAGGGCTGGGACCCCCCCTCCCCTCCCTGTGAGAACCCCTCAACAAGAGGCTGTAAATCCTCTTTCCCCCCCCCCCTCCCTCCACCCTTCCAGCAGAAATGGAACGATGCCACAGACCCTCTCGCTCAGCATTGCAGAGCTGTACACCGAGACGGTCCTCTAATTATGTCCCGGTCTGCAAATTGGGGCGTAGTGGAGGAAAGGAGAGGGACCTTCCATTGGGATCCTTAGTGTGTCCTCCAGCTGGGTGAGGAAGAGGAAGGAGGGTGGAGGAGACACCTGCTCAAATTAACCCTGCAAAACAAGATGTTGATGCCGTTTTCCCAAAGCGCTGTTTCCTCACCCTGGGCAGCGTGAAGATAGGCAGACTTCAACTCCCAGAATTCCTGGCTGGCGAATTCTGGGAGTTGAAGCCAACACACCTTCAAGCTGCCAAGGGTGAGAAACTATAAAGAAGTTTTTCACCAACTATAAAAGAACGATAAAGGTAAAAGAAGCATCACATACACACCCGGGGATGCTGTTTTGATCCCAGCTCCTCTACAATTCAAGAAAGAGGCTTTCAGAGAGTTGATCCACCCACCCACCCGCAACTCCCATGGTTCCCTGCCGGTCTGGCCGAAATCCCCCTGCTTGTTTGAACAAATGAAGCAAGAAAAAGAACCTCCTCCATTTAAAGCAGCAACACCTCTCCCCTAACAGACCCACTCTTTTTGGGCGGGGGAAAACAAGGGTCAAGTCACTTTTTTCAGTGCCGTCCTAACTTCCAACCATCACTAAATGAATGGTGTTAAGTTGAATACTACCTATAAGGAGAGAAATTGGCTAGAGATTTTCAAGAGTCCTAAGAAAAGATGTGAAAAACAGATGCTTCTTCTGTCCCAGACAAAAATGGAGACATTGCAAAGCCAATTTTGAAGAAGAGACTGGACAGTCACATGTCTGAGATTGTATAGGGTCTCCTGATTGAGCAGGGGGATGGACTAGAAGACCTCCAAGGTCCCTTCCACCTTCTATTCTTTCTCATTCTACTCCATTCCATTCCATTCTATTCTATTCTGTTTAAATTCTATTCTTTTCTATTCTCTACTCCACTCCACTCCATTCTATTCTATTCATTTCTACTTTTTATTTCTATTCTCTACTCTACTAATATTTTTTTTGCACTGTGTTGAAATAAAACCCACATTAAAACACATCAGGGCTGTGAACCAGAGCAGCACACCGAAGCTGCTTCTCCCCAGTGCACAACGGCGGCGTCCACATCTTCCACCCACATCTTCCACGCCTTCCCCGTATCTTGGAGAGCTTCCACTTTGCGGTTGGTCTCTCCCGTTCGCCGAGGGCAAGGAGGGCTCTTCCTGCCCTCGGACCCTCCGAGCTGTTTTTCTTTCCCTTCCCCGGTGTTTTTCCAAGGCCTGCCAAATTGCATTCCCCGAAGGTGATAAGGGGCCCCCGATGACTGAAAGGGCAACGGAGACATCTTGGCTCTGGGATCTGTCCCAGGGACGGGGTGGGGGGATGGGGGAAGAAGCGCTGGGAGAAAAGGACTGGGCCCCCTTCCTTCCGTTTTGACAATCCAAACCTGTCTGTTTTAAAGCCCAGCGGTGGATGGGGGCACCTGGGATGAAGGTGAGGCCAGTAACAAGGTGAGACTGGTGCTCCAGCTCTTAAGGCTGTAGAGGTTCTCAGTCACTGACGTTGCTTGTCAGAAGGTTGTAAAAGGGGAATCACACGAGTTTGGGACACTGCGACCGTCATAAGTATGAGCCCATTGCCACATATCTGAATTTTGATCACCTGATCATGGAGACCCCCTTTCCCCCTACTCTCTCCTCCTCCTCTCCTCTCTTTTCCTCTCCTCTTCCTCCTCCTTCTCCTCCTTTCCTTCTCTTTCTCCTTCTCCTCCTCCTCTCTTTTCCTCTCCTCCTCCTCCTCCTCCTTTCCTTCTTTTTCTCCTTCTCTCTTTTTCCTTCTCCTCTTCCTCCTCTCCTCTTTGCTTCTCCTCTCCTCCTTCTTCTTTCCTTCTCCTTCTCTCTTTCTCTTTCTGTCTCTTTCACTTTTTTTCTCCTCCTCCTCCTCCTCTCCTCCTTCTCCTTCTCCCCTTCTTCTGTCTCCTCCTCCTCTCCTCCTTCTCCTTCTCCTTCTCCCCTTCTTCTCTCTGTCTCCTCCTCCTCCTCCTCTCCTCCTTCTCCTTCTCCCCTTCTTCTG